GCCCCTGCTCAACGCGGTCGCAGTCGACCGAGGTAGTGGCTCTGCGGACGATCGTCTCGGCGACGAAGTCGACCCCTGACCGGTTGCATGCGAGGCTTGCACACGTCAGCGTCGACACGATCAAGAGCTCGGCGAAACATGAAGTTGCTACTGGGCTCGACATCACTCCGTCGACCGGAGCAGATCCGCCATGTGTCTCGTGCGTTGGAGGAAAGCTGGCGCGGCACACCTTCCATGCCAAGGGCTCGAACACCGAGGAGGCGTTGGCTGACGTGCACATTGACTTGTGCGGGCCATTCCGGGTCGCTGCCAAGGATGGCAGTCTGTACTTCCTGCTGCTGAAGGATCGCCACACTCGATTTGTGTGGGTGATGCCGGTCGCTAAGAAGAGCAACGTTCTGCGGGAGTTTTAGAAGTGGCTGGTGCTGGTGGAATGACAAACGAAGAAGTCGGTGATGATGCTCCGCTCAGACCGGGGAGGGGAGTTCCTCGGGAAGGAGTTCACCGACTTCATCGACGGCAAGGGCATCGTCCACGACCTGACGTGCCCTTACACACCGCAGCAGAACGGCATGGCTGAGCGGGAGATGCGCACGGCCGTCGAGTCCGTGAGGACGATGGTGTTGCACATGGGTGTGCAGCACCACTGGTGGCACCTCGCTCTACGACAAGCTGTCTGGGTGCGCAACTGCTTGGAGCGGTCGACGACACCGCCGGGGACGACTCCGTACCAGCTACTGACCGGGAAGAAGCGTGACCTCACGCTGGCGCGGGTGTGGGGCTGCATGGTGCAGTTCATGATTCCTGAGCAGCAACGCGGTGGGAAGTTGGCGCCGAAAGCTCGCTGGGGGCTTCACCTGGGCGTGTCGCCAGAGAGTAAGGGATGGGAGGTGCTCGACCTGACCGACAACAAGGTGGTCACGTCGGTCGAGGTGATCTTCTACGAGACGCTGTCGCTGGAAATGTGGAAGGCGAAGTTTGGGCCTGCGTCGGGCCGGAAGCAGGCACACCCGCCTACGGACACCTCGACGGCGACGGTTCCTTTGCTCGCCGAAGTCGATGAGCGTGCTGATGAGGATGTTGTGGAGGTTTTTCCACCCCCCCCCCCGGTTCTTGCTCCTCCCTTCCCCGTCGCAGATCGGCCTGCGTCGACACCCGTGTCGGCCACCGCCGATGAGGGGAGCCTTGAGGCGTCGCCTGTGGCGCCGGCTTGTGGCATCGCCGGCGGTCGACAAGGCGCCAAGTTTGTCGACCAGGATGGGAAGCCGTCGACGATAGGGGAGCAGCGGACAGGGGAGCCGGTCGAACAAGAAGCAGCAGCAGAGGTGCAGTCGACAAAAGAGCTGCTGAAGTCAGCAGGAGGTGAGCAGCTGGTCGAAAGTTCAAATTAGCTGCTTGACGACTTGTCAGTCGACAAAGAAGGGGAGCTGTCGGCAGGAGAAGAGTCCACCGACAGCGACGTGGTGGAGGTGCCGATCACGACGCCTGAGCTGCGACGCACAGGTCGAGCTCGACGGCCGCCGGAACGGCTGAGCTTCCACACTTGCCTACCGCCAGCTGCCTTCACCGCTATGTACGACGAGGTCGATGATGACCTGCTGTACGACGATGCCGAGGAGGATGACGAACTGCCGGAGCTCGACCCCGACATGCACGCAGACCCCGAACACCGCTGGGACATCGCCACGATGACTATAAAGGAGGCGCTGGCGAGCTGGAAGGGTGAGGCGGTGAAGGCCGCCATGGAAGAAGAGATCCGCAGTCTCGTCGGCATGGGCACTTGGGAGCTGGTCAAACGCCCACGCGGGGTGAACATCATGAAGAACCGGTGGGTGCTGACGACCAAGTACCGCCTTGACGACACCGTCGAGCGCGAGAAGGCGAGGCTGGTCGTGAAGGGCTTCACGCAGGTGTGCGGTGCTGACTACGACGAGACGTACTCGCCGGTGAGCAGCTACGTCACGCTGAGGATCTTCCTCAGCATCGTCGCCGTCTTCGACCTCAACCTGATGCAGCTCGACATGAAGAACGCTTTCCTGCAGAGCAAGCTCGACGGGGTGCTTTACATGTACCAGCCGGACTACTTCGACGATGGGACGGGCCGGGTGTGTAAGTTGCTGAAGAGCCTCTACGGGCTGAAACAATCGCCGCTGCTGTGGTACAGGGCACTTGACGGCGTGCTGCTGGGCACTGGCTGGAAGAAGAGCCAGGTCGACGAGGCGCTCTATTTCAAGGCCAGCGAAAACGGGGTAACTTGCTGGGTGCTGGTCTACGTCGACGACTTGCTCGCCGCCAGCAGCAGCCCCGCGATGTTGAAGAAGCTAAAGCAGCTGTTGGAGGATGCCTTCGAGTTGCGTGAGATTTCGCCAGTCGTCAAGTACCTCGAGCTGGAGATCGTGCGCGACAGGCCAGCGAGGAAGCTGTGGCTTCACCAGCAGGGCTACGCCGACAAGCTGCGCAGGCGCTTCATCGACGCGGAGCAGGGTGGTCGAGTCCCGAAGACGCCAGTCTCGGTCGATGCCTACACCGAGCTGACATTCGACGACGAGGAGGCGCAGGAGCGCGAGGAGGAGTACCGGCAGAAGGTTGGCTCGCTGCAATTTGCGGCGGCGACGACGAGGCCGGACATCGCGTTTGCCTGCAGCAAGTTGGGGAGCGGCCTCACGGTGAGGAGCGACCAGCATTGGCGCGAGGTCAACCGCTGCCTCGCCTACCTTGCTGACACCCGCGACACCACCTTGGAGTTCGGCGGTGGACCAGAGTCGCTGGAGCTGATCGGCTACGTGGACGCTGACGACGCGGGCGACAAGCAGAACCGTACGAGCACAGGAGGCTACGTGTTCGTCTACGGAGGGGTCGCCGTCTCCTGGTCGAGCTCGCGCATCAAGTGCACGACATTGTCGTCGACCGAGTCGGAGTACGTGGCGGCCACGAATGCAGGCAAGGAGGGACGCCGACTTCGTTTCCTTCTTGCGGAATTCAAGCTACTCGACGCTGGGAAGCCAACCCTCCTCCGCGTCGACAACAAGTCGGCAATTACGGTCGCTGAGGGCTTGGGGCTGACAGGCAACCTCAAGCACATGGAGCGACGCTATGCCTGGCTGCAGCACATGGTGAGGCGCGGGAAGTTCGTACTGAAGTACATTCCGACCACCGAGCAGCCGGCTGACTTCCAGACGAAGGCGCTGCATTTTCCGGCTTTCAACCGATGCTCTGTCGCCATCGGCCAAGTTTGCCTGGCCGACGTCGGCGACGGCGACGATGACGTGCAGCAGTAGGTGCCGTGCCCTTCTGCACGGCTGGTGCGGTGACGGCGTGCTGTGTGAAGGGTATACGCTGAGAACGAGTTCTTTCTCCGTAGTATGCTTTCGTGTGGGCTGGGGGCCCAAGCGTGAACGCGGCAGGGGAGTGTTAACGGGAGTGAAGTGTTGGCCCCGCCCACGCTTGGGCAACGCCGACGACTTGGTCGGATGTACGGGAGTAGCAGCCGACCATCCACAGTGGGAGAACTGCTCGACGGGCTTCGTCGAGCTGCAGGGGACCGCTGTGGTGTTGCTGTCGACCAGGGAGCTCGACAGCTGCAACTGACTGGTCTGGGCGACGGGTGGGCCGTCGACCAGGAGGGGCAGTTCGACCGGGAGGTCGACAGAGCAGTCTGTCGACCTGACAAGTGAGCAGCGGTCGACGAGGGGAGCTCGGCGACAAAAGCTGACAGTTCTGGTCGACGGAAGGGGTTTGTCGACCAGGGGGTAGCTCGACGGGAGCTGTGGTCGACCAGGCGCACCTGGGGTTGTCCAGGTCGACCGGGTAACCTGCTTGGCGAGTTCTGCGGAGGCACGCGAACTTCGTCGAGGTCGCGATGGCGAAGGCGACTTCGGGTTGGTATCCCAAAGTCGATGTGGCTCATCACGCACAGACAATAGCCGACGGATGCACAACGGTGCAAGTCGGGCCAATCGTTTGCGCGCACCTGTGAGCATGCGCACTGCTGTCTTCTACGGGGCAACGCTGGACATCCGCTCTGCTGCAGCGTTGGCACACCGTCGACTTGCTGTGTTGGCAGGTCGTCGTTCTGCAGTGCTGGCACGGCTCCTCTACGCAACGATGGCAGGCGATCGACCATGCTGTGCTGTCTGTCGACCAGGCTAGCTGCAGAGTTGCTAGGTGCCTGATGTAGTCATTCTTGTTATTGCTTGCTTAACTTTTTCTGTAACTCCAACTTTGCTAGTGAAAACTCTTGCCAATTTCTCTCGTGATTGTGCAAACACTAAGGAACTAAGCAAAGCTACCATCACTCCTAGTAGTTCGTGCCAACCTCGTAGTCTAGCTCACCACCGTTGTAGAGTGACTCTCCTCAAGTGTGAGGTTTTGGAGGGAGTTCGCCCTCTCCAAGCCGTTGATTACATCTTAGATATGGCGTCATGTGAACCGTGGATAGAAGCTTGCATGGACGGCTAATATGAGGCCCTCGTGGTTGATCAAGGGTGAGTGAAATCGTGGCTGAGCCATAGATCGAATTGCCGTCAGGCTGCATTGTGTCCGTTGTGGCTCGTCGAACAAGTGTCGTGGTTCGATTGGACGTCACAAAGTGACACGCGCTTACGGTGGTGTTGATGTCACCCTAGACATGTTCTGGTACTCCACGCGGCATCCTACGTGGCTCCGTGACCATTTCGAAGATTTTATGTGATGTTTGCGGTAAGTGCATACTAGCGAAAAAGAGGTACAGTTTCGTGAGTGTCACTTTGTTTCTATGTAACTCACAAGGTAACGCGACTGTCTGGTACTTCTGTCCATTACTTTTTCGTTACGCAAAAATGTCACGCAAAAGTAACGTGAACGTCACATTTACGTCACTTTACTCAATTGTCTTTTCCTAAATGTTTTAGTTCGTCCCAGCAAAATTTAGGTGACCCCGAAGGTGAGTCTGCGAAGAAGCGCGGACCAGCGAGCGCGCGGCGGCAGCCGCGGCTTGTGGTGGGGTGAGCGTCCGTGGCGCGATGGAGCGAAACGCTTTGATTCAGCAGCTGCTGCAGCAGAAGCTCGCACTGGAGGGTAAGCGCGATGGGAAATTTCCAGGCAACTTCCACGCGGGAGGGCTCGCGGGAGGACGCGGGGCGAGGAAGAGGGAGAGTGAAAAGGAGAGGAGAAAAAGGGAGGTCGAAACTGGGGATTCGGGAGGGCGAGAGCGAGGTGATGCGGATGAGGAAAAGGAAAGGTCGAACACGGTTAGATGAAAGAGGGCGGGGGAGCTGTGGTGAGCGAGCGTAGCGAGGCTCTCGTTATATCATAGCGATTCGATTTGCGGCGTAATCGGCTCGACCTGCCTTATCTCCCCATCATTACAACCCGCGGCGTTCTCTGCTCGACCTGCCCTAACCCGTTGCCTTCCGCGCTCTCCTCTCTTGCCTCCCTTCCCCCACAACCCCGCCTTCTCCCCTACCGCCCACCTGTGATGCAGAGCAACTGCGGGCGGAGCAGCAGCGCCTGCAGTCGTCGCAGCAGCACTCGGCGAGCGTCCCCGCCCTGGCAGGCGACGGCGAGGGCGACGTGGAGCAGTCGCTGCGACCCGTGCACGCATGGCGGTGGGAGCAGCAGCAGCAGCAGCAGCAGCATCAGCAGGGGCAAGCGGGTGGGTCGGATGAGAAGGCGCTGCCACTGCAGCAGCAGAAGCAGCAGCACGAGTCGGGGCAACAACAGTCGCACGAGAAGCAGGAGCTGGGATCGCAGCAGAATGAGCGTGAGAGGGAGCAAGGCGAGCAGGATTCAGCATGCCATGCCCTGTCAGTGTCCACACCCCAGTTATGCCGCCCGCCAAGGGCTCAGCAGCGGTACAGGCAGAGCGAGAGCGAGCAGCAGCAGGAGGAGGAGGGGCGGGACAGCGAGCAGTCTCCGCAGATCCACTCGCTCTCACCCTTGCAGCCGCTTTCCCCTGCTGCCCCGCCGGTGCTGCTGTCAGAAGAACGGCAGCAGAACCAGCAGCAGCAAGATCAGCAAGAGAAGCAGCAGCAGCAGCAGCAGCAGCAGCAGCAGCAGCAGCAGCAGCAGCTGCAGCAGCAGCAACAGCAGCAGCAAGAACAGCAGCAGCAGCAAGAGCAGCAGCAGGGGCAGCAGAAGCAGCAGCGGCAGCAGCAGCAGCAGCAGCGGTGGCAGCAGCAGGGGCAGCAGGAGCAGCAGGTGCAGCAGCAGGGCCAGCCGCAGCAGAAAAATGAAACTCAACAGCAGCTGGAGCAAAGCCAGCAGCAGCAGCAGCCACGACTGGTTGTCCTTGCTCTTCCTTGCACTGACAGTGAGACTCCTTCCTCTCTTCCACTGCCTCTCCCAGACGCGTCTCCGGCTCGTTTTCCTCCTCCTTCACTGTCTCCTCCTCTCCTTCCTGACCACTTGCAGCAGCAGCAGAAGAAAGAACAGCAACGGCATGCTAGTGAGCAGCAAAAGCAACACCAACAGCAGCAGCTACAGAGTCAAGAGCAGCCGTTGCAGCAACAGGAGCAGCAGCGCTATGAACAGCAGAAACAGTTAGTGGAGCAGCAGCAGATTCATCAGCTGCCGCAGGAGCAAGTTATGCAACAGCAGCAGCAGCAGCAGCAGCAGCAGCAGCAGCAGCAGCAGCAGCAGCAGCAGCAGGAGTGTAACGCATTGCAGCAACAGCAACAGAATCAAGACCAGCTGTCGCCGCAACAGGAGCTGCAGCAGCAACGCCAGCAGGAGAAAAAGGAGCAGGTGCCGCAACAACCGCAGCAGCAGCAAGAGCAGCAGCGGCAGCAGCAGGAACACCAGCAGCTACAACAGCAGCCTATTCAGGAGGTGCTTCGACAGCAGCAGCAAACACAGCCCATGCCTCAGCAGGGCCTACAACAGCAGCACATCGGGGTGCAGCAGCCGCATGTGCACGCAGCACAACAGCCGGCCTATCCATGGAACCAGCACCACTATGTTCGCTCACACAATATGCATATGCAGCAGCAGCAGCAGCCACATCAGTATCAGCAGCAGCAGCAGCCATTTCAGTATCATCATCATCATCAGCAGCAGCAGCAGCAGCAGCAGCCACATCAATATCAGCAGCAGCAGCAACATCAATATCAGCCACAGCAGCAGCAACGTCATCATTATCAGCAGCAGCGACAGGCAGAGCAGTTTGGTGGAAGGGGCACAGTGGGACCCATGTATGGGGGCACGCAAGGCGTGGAGAGCATGTATGGTACACCAGTGACGCAAGGTCCTGTGGGCAATAGAGTGTTCTGCACCTCTGTCGCTGGTGCAGTGGGTGGTGGCGGTTTGGGAGGTGTGGGTGGTGTGGGTGGGGTGCATGGTGTGCGTGGCAGTGACAGGCATGGCATGGATGCAGAGATCCATGCAGTGAAGGAGCAAGTGTTTGGCATCCCGGGCCCATTCAACCCGCACCAACTCGAGGTAAGAGGGTCAGTCAGTCCGAACCTGAAGGGCATTAGCTCAAGTAGGAAAGGAAATCTGGTTAGTCTACAAGTGCTTTTCCTTGGACTGCAAGGTTCTTAGTCGCACATGTGTAGCTGGATGGCATGTTCTTAGTTGATGTTACTTGTTATTGTCCAGTCCAGTACTGTGGCTCTCGCTCTTGTAATGTGGATTCGTTTCTTACTTCCGCCAGCAATCTTTCCTTCCTGTGAAACAGAAGTGTGGTTCTGTTTTTGTCCCTTTTTGCCATCATGATTCACGCTCCCTCCCATTACTCTTCGCCTCGAACAAACTCACCCCCTTCCCACCTCCTCACCTTCCTTTTGCTCAACCTCTCTCCTCCCATCCCTCTAGTACCCTCCTCCCCACTTCTCCCTTCTCCCGTCTGAAACCCTCTCTGCTTCTGCTCTCACCCACACTTTCTCTCTCCCTCTCTCCTCCCCTCCAACCACCCCCACCCTCCCACCCTCCCTCCCCCCCCCCACCTCCCCCCGCCCGCCCATAAGATCATCCGAGCACTACTAGCACGGCCGCCCAGCAACGTGCTGGCGGTGCTGCCAGCGGGCAGCGGCAAGAGCCTGTGCTTCCAGCTCGCCGCCGTGCTGCTGGGGGGCGTCACCCTTGTCGTCAGCCCCTTCCGCGCCCTCATCCGCAACCAGGTTTGATGGGCCGGAGAGGTGGGGGAAGGGAGGGAGGGGGAGGGACGTGGGGGGGAGGGAGGGAGGGGGAGGGACACGGGGAGAAGGGGAGGGAGGGGAAGGGATGTGTGGGGAAGCAAGGGAGGGGAAGGGGCGTGGGGAAAGGGTGTGAGGAGAGGAGAGTGAGTGTGAGGAGAAGGACAGAGGGGAGGGGTTGGGAACAAGGGGAGGGAAAACGGTTGCTGTGGAAATGAGTCGCTAGAGACGGGGGCTGTCTCTTCCCGCACTAGTGGCTGGGAAAGAGAGAGCGTGCATTCACGCAAGCTCTCACCTGCGAGGACCAACCATGCCACCACCCAACGTGCAACGCCACACCCCACCCACCCACACCACTCACACTCCCATTCCCCCCCGGTCCGGGCCCCACCCCACCCACCCACCCACCCACCAACCCTTCCGTTTGCCCACCACCAGGTGCAGGCGCTGCGGCAGCTGCCGATCTGTGTGGGCATGGTGCTGGGGCACCCGTCCATGGAGGACCGCCGCCACCGCCACGCCGTCTTTGCTGCGCTCAGAGGCGACGCCCACACGCCGCTCTCCCTGCCCCGCCACTCGCCCTCCACCCCCAACGCCAGCATCGCTGCAGGCCACGCACCTGGGAGCAGGGAAGAAGGGGTGGCGGCGGGTGCGGGTGTGGCTGCGGGTGCGGGTGCGGGTGTGGGGTGGGAAGGTCCAGGGAGGGAGCACCTGTGTGTGTACGTGACGCCAGAGGCGCTGGAGAAGTGCCGGGAGTTGACAGCAGCGCTGCAGCAGTGCTATGAGCGGAGGGCACTGCGACTCATTGTGGTGGATGTGAGTGCTTTCTGCTGGCGCTGCCCTGGGGGGTGAGGGAAGGAAGGAGGGAGGGAGGGAGGGAGGATGTGCCTCGTAAGAGCTTGGCCATGGATGGGGGCTTGATGGTGACTGCTGTGTTGAGTTTAGATGGTGCACTGTGGTGCACTGTGGTGCACTCTACAACGGAGGGAGTGTTCCAGGGGTACGAGGTAGTTTCCCAACATTCCTCTTGTCATTCCCTCTCCAAACCGATCATTCCCCCCCCCCCCTCTTCCTCTCTCCCCTTCCTTCCCCCCCCTCACCTTCTCCGCCCCTCCCCCTCTTTCCCCTTTCCCCCCTCCCCCTCTGTTCTTCCCCTCTTCCCCCCATTCTCCCTCCGTCCCCCCAGGAGGCGCATCACTGCAACGGCAGCGACCCCTTCCGCCCCTTCCTCAAGATAGTGGGCGAGCACCTGCGCGGCTGCTTCCCGGGCGTGCCTGTCTTCGCCATCACTGTACCTACCTACCCACGCCGCCGCCGCCGCTCGCCCTTCCCTCCTGCACGCCTCTCTCTTTGCATGCTGCCTGCTATGACCACATCACCTCTAGTGTTTCCCCCTCTCCTTGTGTTTCCCCCTCTCCTTGTGTTCCCCCCTCTCCTCGTGTTTCCCCCTATCCTTGTGGTTTTCCCCTCTTCTCGTGTGTCTTGCCCCTCGCCATATGTTCCTTCCACCTTCACCTCGAAACATTCCCCCCTGTGCACAGCCTCGTCCTTCCCTGTCCACATCCCATCGTCTTTGCATGCCTGCATTTCACTCCTTCTCCCCTCGTCCTGCCTGCCTACCACCACCATTCCACGTCAATCTCACATGGCATCTAACATGGCATATAACATGGCATCTAACATGGCATCTAACATGGCATCTAACATGGCATCTAACATGGCATCTAACATGGCATCTAGCATGGCATCTAGCATGGCATCTAGCATGGCATCTCACATGGCATCTAACATGGCATCTAGCATGGCATCTCACATGGCATCTAACATGGCATCTAACATGGCATCTCACATGGCATCTCACATGGCATCTCACATGGCATATAACATGGCATCTAACATGGCATCTAACATGGCATCTAACATGGCATCTAACATGGCATCTAACATGGCATCTAGCATGGCATCTAGCATGGCATCTAGCATGGCATCTCACATGGCATCTAACATGGCATCTAACATGGCATCTCACATGGCATCTCACATGGCATCTCACATGGCATCTAACATGGCATCTAACATGGCATCTAACATGGCATCTAACATGGCATCTCGTCCGCCTTCCTGTCCCCTCCCAGTTGGCATCCCTGTCCCAGCTTCGCTCTGCACCTCTTTCTCAGTACTCTCTATCCGCACGTGCTGGGACAGTGTTGTGACAGTGTCGTGCTCTCTGCTCTCTATCCGTGCGCTGCCTGCCTTGCGCTTCTTCACGACTACCCTCTCCTCTCTTAACACTGCCTTGGCTTGGCCCATTGCTCTTTCCAACACACCTCCTGCTTGTACCTTTTTTCCCTGCTTTTTGTTTATCCCCCACCCTTCTCCCGGTCCCCTTCCCCACCTATGATGCCAGGCGACAGCCAATGGGGCAGCGCAGCAGGAGCTGCGGGCGAGGCTGGGACTGCAGATGAGCAACACGCAGACCTTCGTCTCCTCCATCCGCCTGCCCCACATGCGCTACGAGGTGCCGTGCCTTCTTTTGCTGCGTTCCATTGCCTACTCATGGCCTCGTAGTGTCTGCTTGCTTGCTCATGGCTTTCCTGCTGTGACGCTTTCAAAAGGGAGTCAAATCAAAAGCAATGAGTAGAAAGAGCAAGGAGATGCCATGCTACCAGATGAGGTTGCAAATGATTCAGCCAGAGGTCGCGCGCACACCAGCCAAGCAGGGCAGTTGCCGTTAGGTATGAGCATTCGAGGCGAACCGAACAGGTTTTGTTTTTTCAGCTTAAATCGTTCGCCCGAACGTGTTCGAGGTTCGCCCGAACACGTTCGTGTTCGTGGCGCTGCTGCAGAACGCCCCGTGTCGAACACGAACGTGTTCGAGGTTCGCCCGAACACGCCTCCACAGGCGAACGGCGAACACCTGTTTTTGCCTAAACTGTTCGCCGAACCGAACAGTGTTCGGTTCGGCAAAAGGGCGTGTTCGAGAAGGGGCGAACACGAACATGTTCGTGTTCGCTCTTTGCTCATCCCTAGTTGCCGTGCTGGAGGAGACTTGCTCAGCTAGTCCTTCCAAGACTTCACCCGCCCATCACCTACCCTACTGCCCCGCCCTTTTCAACAAGCCTCAGTCACAAACCTTCTTCTGCAGTTTGCTATGCAGCAATCCGAGTCATGAAGCTGCCACCAGCTCACTCACCTCCAGTATCCATCCTACCTTTCCTCTCCTCCTCCTCTCACATTCTCTCCCCTGCTTCCTTCACGTCTCCCGCCTCCTCCTTCCCCTCCTTATCCTCCCACCTAGTTGCGGGTGAAGCGCAAGAGTGTGGCGGCAGGCAGGCGGGCATGGTCTTGACAAGCTCTTTGCTCCCCCCTCCCCCCACTCCCTGCCCCAGGTGCGGGTGATGCGCAAGAGCGTGGCAGCAGACGTGGTGGCGTTCTTTCAGAGGTGTTTTTTTCTAAGTGGCGATATACGCGTATAGCGTATATACGCGTATCGTATATACGCTAGCGTTTATACGCTATACGCATAGGTCGCGAAACCCTAGATACGCTATTCGGGCAGGTTTAAAAAAAGTTAGGGCAGCTAAAGTAAGACCCCCCTGATATACTTATGCGGTCAGTTTCCACAGGGGTTGGATTTCCCGGATTTTTTTCCCAACCCAAAATTATTCACCAACAACATTACAATGACACATACTCATCTCATACTACTAGTACACATACTACAACTCACGCAACTCCAGATCAATTACGCCACCTACTCATACTCATCCTCCAGAATGTCGTCTTCCCCCTCCTCCTCCTCGTCCCCCTCCACCACATTGTAGCCCTCGGGCACGGGAGGCTCCGGCATGTTCCCGAGCACCACACCCAGCATGACATCTGCACGGGAATGCCAGTTGCGCACAACGTTCCAGTTGTGCGCAACAAAAACCAAATCCTGGCACTTGGCAGAGCCAAGCCGGTTCCGGCGGGCCGTGTGCACCCCATCCCACGTTGACCATCCCCTCTCACATGGTGAAGCCGACACGGCCTGAGAGAGAGTCCTGATGGCGAGGGCCGCCAACTTTGGTGCGTCAGTGCCGTGCCACTGCCACCACTTTACCATGTCATACTTGCCCTCCTTGACCAAGTTCCTCTGAGCAATTGCATCCCCCATCCTGAAGCTTCCCTTCATATCCAGAAATGCCCTCACCCCCTCCTGCAGTTCCAGCAAAACCTCGCCAATGTCATCCCCATCATCCCCCTCCTTACCGTGATTGCAGAGGTGCTCGGCGTGCTGAGTGATGAACGCTTTGAATACCTTTGTGCACTCCGCGTCTGAGCCGAAGATGTCTTCATCCTGGTTCGCCGGGCTGAGAATCCGGCCCGCAACGTGCATGGGGCAGGCGAGGCTGCCGTCCCACCTATTCTTCAGCAGGCGGCGGATGTGCACTTTGTTGGAGTAGGAGAGCTGCTCCTCATCCTCCTCCACCACTGTCCCCACATCCTCGGTCAACTGCAACATTGTGTCATACATACGGCCCATCATCCCCTTGGCATCCGCATCGGTCTTACGCATTGCGAAGAACGGGAGCTTCATCAGCTTGTAGAAAAACTCCGCCGTTTTCCACCACGCGGCATCAAGAACTTGCGCTGCAAACTTCTCCGCAGGCTTCTTCCTCTCCCCAACTGCCCAGCCCTTCCACACATCAGACACCACCATCTGTGCAAGCGACTGCCGCAGCTCACAGAGACGGGACACAACAATGTATTGTGTCCCGAATCTTGTTCCAGCCGGTTTCAGCGCCTGCAGCATCCTTGCACCCACCATTTCCGGGTTCCGCAAGTATCCCCTCGTCCAGTGGTGGTTGCGGACGAAGGAGCTGATATCGCCCGCAGGTGTTAGAATCTTAGCTAGAACATAGTAGCCAAGAGTAGGGTGGAGGGAACACGGAAGAGAAAATGGAAGAAGAAAAAGAGATACAAATGGCAAACCCTAAATTGGGTTGTACTCACTACAGAGTACCCCACTGCAGGCTAGACAGCAAATACATTCTGACACACCCCCATAGTCAAAGTGGGGTATAATCAGCAAAGCAAGCAGTCATAGAGCAGGTTCACCAGTACAAGTAAAGCTGAAGGCATTCACAAAGGGCAAGTGAGGAGGAGGAGGCTAGACTGTGAGAGGAGAGGAGATAGGAGGCGACGGCTGATGTTGCAGACACACGGGCAACAGGAGCGGCGCGCACGGTGGCTACCGGAGCAAGGGCCCCGGACTACAGGAGTAACTGACTCTGCGGCTAACTCTGAGCGGCAGGAGCAACGGACCCACGGGCGACAGGCACAGCAGGCTCTCTGAGCTACCAGAAGCAGAGCCCCGGACTACAGGTGCTGCGGACGACAAGACGGCAGCCTCCGCACAACCTCCCCCAACTGCCCCACCCCCCCTTTCACACACCCCTTGCTGCACCCCTAGCTCCACTCCCACATCACCCCCCTAGCACCACTCCCTCGGCTCCCACACACCCACCCCCCTCAGCGGCAGCTGCAGAAGTGGGAGACGAAGGAGGAGGAGGAGTAGGGGACGGTTCACACACCCGCCACCCCCATATCCGCCACCCCGCAGTTGCACGAGGACAGGAGGCGGCAGGGGCGGCTCGCGGGCTGCAGGGGCGGCACGCGGGTTGCAGGGGCCGTTCGCGAGCTGCAGGAGGGGCAGCGCGCGGGCCCCCGAGGGCGCCTCGACGGGCGACGGAAGGGGTGGGGGGGCGCGCTGGCCCCCGAGGGCGCCACGACGGGCGACAGGACGGGGGGCCGCGCGCGGGCCCCCGAGGGCGCCACGACGGTCGACGGAGCAAGGGGGCCGCGCGCGGGCCCCCGAGGGCGCCACGACTGGCGACGGGAGGGGGGGGGGGGAGGGGCCGCGCGCGGGCCCCCGAGGGCGCCACGACGGGCGACGGGAGGGGGGGCCGAGCTCGGGCCCCCGAGGGCGCCACGATGGGCGACGGAAGGGGGCCGCGCGCGGGCCCCCGAGGGCGCCACGACGGGCGACGGGAGGGGGAGGGCCGCGCGCGGGCCCCTGAGGGTGCCACGACGGGCGACGGGAAGGGGGCCACGCTGGTCAATAGGACAGGAAACCGCCGCGCGCCTCGGGGCGCACGGCGGGTAGAAAACGCCGCACGCCAGGGGGCGCGCGACAGACAGGACAGCAGCGAAAGCGGGTGGGCCCACAGGCCAAGAGCGTACTCGCTCTGATACCATGTTAGAATCTTAGCTAGAACATAGTAGCCAAGAGTAGGGTGGAGGGAACACGGAAGAGAAAATGGAAGAAGAAAAAGAGATACAAATGGCAAACCCTAAATTTGGTTGTACTCACTACAGAGTACCCCACTGCAGGCTAGACTGCAAATACATTCTGACAGCAGGGTCCACCACGTTCTTGGCCCACGGCATCTTGCCGACGTCCTCCATGAAGAGGTCCAACACGTAGGTGCCGCAAGTCACGTGTTGAATGTGCGGCCATTCCGCGATCAACTGGTTGCACGCCACCGCGTAGTTGGACCCACCGTCCGTGCAGAACGCCACCACGTTCTCCGGACCGACCTCCTCCACCATAGGCCTGAGGATGCTGGCGACATAACCGCCGGTTTTGGTCTCCATGCGGCAGTCCACGCTATCCTTGAACACCGCGCCACTGTCGTTGACGAGAAACACGTTCGCCTGGGGGCGACCGTTCTTATCGGTCATCATATCAGAAGCAACTGTCACGCCGGTCCGCTTCCAGCTCGCCTTCACTCCAGAAAGCCCCCTGTCGATGTTGTCGCAGCACATTCGCAAGCCCGCCCCGCGGATGAACTCCCTGTTTGGTGGGACGTATCCTCTGCCGGCGTCTCGAATGGCACGAACGGCGTTGATGAAGAGAGGGTGCTCCGCGACGCGCTCCGGGATGCGACACCCCGCGAACATGAGCGCCAACGCCTCATGTGCATCGCGCTTCCCAGCTTCCGCATCCGTCTCCAAGTAGTCAGTAATGCGGCTCCTCTTGCCGCTGCTGGTGACCGACGCGATGGCATCCGATGTCGCCTGGCGGCGCTGAGCCGCCGCTGCAGCCTTAGCCTCGTACTTCTTCCGCATGGCAACCCGCGCTTCAGTGTGGGCTTCCTTGCATAGCGCCACTTCGCGTCGCTTCATCTTCCTCCAACTTGCCAAGTGCTGCGCGCAGCGGATGGCGGCACCAGAAAAAACAATGCAGCAGTACCTGCACTCGTACTGCTGCGATTTCCCCTCGTCCACCTTTATGAGGCGGAAATGCTTGAACACATCGTGGTCGACATCCGGAAGGTAAACTCGTGCCGAATGATCAGGACTGGCCGTGCCGGTATCAGGAGGGGGAGTGGACTGGGCCGGGTTAACAACTGCAGAAGCCATTCTAAAAATCTCTGTGAAGTAAACAGGAGGATGAATTGACGAGATAAAACAATACCTGCTTGTTAAGTAGCGTGGGATGGATTGGTGGAGAGAAGTTGGATTGGAGGGAGTTTGTAGATCGAGAGCGGTACAAATTGGTGGAACTCCAATGTGAAATGTCAAGGACATCGCGACTCCAAACATTGGAGCCACGTAACCCAACTCACAGTCGCGGCGCCGCGATTTGAAAGCACGGAAACCAACTCACCTACACACATTGAAGCAAAGTCCAGGCCAGGGTAGATCTCGAGCGTGCATTTTGAGCACGGCATCTTCTTCGCCGTGAGAAGACGAAACTTTTCAGATATACTAAAAAAAATTCGATTTTGGGCTGCCCCAAAAAAAAACCCCGAGCGTATTGCGTATTCGTTAGCGTATAGCGTTTTGCGTGTATACGCAAGCGGATAAACACTATACGCTTAAAGGCAAAAGCGTATTTCGCCACTTAGGTTTTTTTCAGTCAACTCGAATCAAACTCTTTGATCCCCCCTCCCCCTTCCCTCCCCCCAGGTGCGGGTGAAGCGCAAGAGTGTGGTGGCAGACATGGTGGAGTTCATTCAGAGCACGTACCCCGGGCACACAGGCCTCGTGTACTGCTGGCGCCGCGAGGACACCGAGGAGGTCCGTACTTACTCTACACACTGTTGGGAGAGTGTAAGGAGAGTGTTGGGGTTGGGAGAGTGTTGGGAGAGTGTTGGGAGAGTGTTGGGAGAGTGTTGGGAGAGTGTTGGGAGAGTGTTGGGAGAGTGTAAGGAGAGTGTTGGGAGAGTGTTGGGAGAGTGTTGGGAGAGTGTTGGGAGAGTGTTGGGAGAGTGTTGGGAGAGTGTTGGGAGAGTGTAAGGAGAGTGTTGGGAGAGTGTTGGGAGAGTGTTGGGAGAGTGTTGGGAGAGTGTTGGGACAGTGTTGGGACAGTGTTGCGACAGTGTTGGGACAGTGTTGCCACAGTGTTGCGACAGTGTGCGACAGTGTTGCGACAGTGTTGCGACAGTGTTGCGACAGTATTGCGACAGTGTTGCGACATTGTTGGGACAGTGTTGCGAATGTGTTGGCAAAGTGTTGCGACAGTGCTGGGACAGTGTTGCAACAGTGCTGGGACAGTGTTGGGACAGTGTTGCGACTGTGTTGCAACAGTGTTGCGACAGTGTTCGGACATTGTTGCGAGAGTGTTCAGACAGTGTTGCGACATTGTTTGGACATTGTTGGGACAGTGTTGGGACAGTGTTGGGACAGTGTTGCGACAGTGTTGCGACAGTGTTGCGACAGTTTTGCGACGTTGGGACAGTGTTGGGACAGTGTTACTGCCCCGCTTCTCTGTGGAGGTGATCTGTGTAATCCGCTCACGGCATCTGCTGTCACCGGTGGGTAGACATGAGCAAATTCCCGAACCCCTGTTCGGTTCGAGTCAAACACGTTCGACTCGAACCGAACAGGGGTTTTTTTTTGCCCAAAAATGTTCGTGTTCGTCACGAACATGTTCGACTGTTCGTGTGGGTTCGTGCAAAAAAATGCACGAACACCTAGGTGTTCGCCGAAATCCAGCGCGTCAAAAATTGACGCGCTTTTTGGATCTAAAAGGGGAGGTCGACGATTGAGCTCATTCTTGGGCTCAATCGTCGATTTCCACTTAGGATAGCTTTCCGCCCACTACCCATTTAAACTGCACCACTCCCACGGTTTTAAGTCCACATTGCGGCTAGAAACGTTAAGTATAAGGGTAGACTAGGTTAGGAAACGTTTAAAAACAGTTTCGTTTTAGCAAAGAGTTTAGCAAGGCGTAATTGATTCCCATCAGATCTGCGCCAAGCCTTACAATAACTAATGTAGGGCTTTTGTGAAAGTGCGTGAACACCTTGTTTTCCACCGTTTTCTGGCTAGGCCATTATGGATTCCGAAATGGTTGATGTAGGGTTGGTTAGCAGCCAAGACAAGTCCATTCCTGGCCCATCCGCACTACTAGTTACTGCGCTGGTACTTAGCGGAGCTGCCTGTCTCGGACGTGCCAGCGCTGCAGTACTGGCAGCGTGCGAGGAACATGGACACGTTGAGGCAGATGGCACGGGATTACCTCGCTATCCCTGCCACCTCTGCAGCTAGCCAGCGAGCTTTCTCCATGGGGAGGAACCTCATCTCCTTGCACAGGCACAGGCTGAACACTGAGCATGTTAGCGCGAGCATGACTCTCAGGTCATGGTACACGTCACACCCTGGGAATAGTATTGGTGAGGAACCCGGCCGCAGTGGAGAGCAGGCACCACCAGAGTTGGCGCTGGAGGGAGAGGGGCTAGATGAGGGGGATGAGGAGGAGGCTGTTGATGTGGGGGGAGGAACCGGAGTTGAGTGAGGGAGTTGCATGGGGACTTGGTGCTGTCTGGCTTTGTTTTGCATGTCCTTGACTTGACGTTGCCCTGAACTTTGAGCTGTTGACCATGCGCGACCATATTTCAGTCGACCATGTGCGCGAGGCATTGCGGATCTTCGCTGCTACCTTTATTTACATTCTGATTTTGCTTGTAGAACACACGCCCTGAGTTTCTTACATGCACTGAATGTGATTATAATAGAAAGTACCCCCCATGGCAAACTGTTCGAGTTCGTGCCAAACACCTTAGTGTTTGGCCATGCCTCAAAACTGTTCGACACTCAACTCGAACGGGGAACACTAACATTTACGAAAACTGTTCGAGTCAAACGTGTTCGGTTCGCTCGTTGCTCATGTCTACCGGTACCGGTGGGGGAAAGTGGGGAGGTCGTGTTGCACGTTTGGGGTTGTCGGTACGTTGACACATGACCCAAGCGTGTGTGCCCCAAGGAATCTCGTGTGTGTGTGTGCGTGCGTGCGTGCGTGCGTGCGTATGTGCATGTGTGCGTGTGTGTGTGCATGTGCATGTGCATGTGCGTGCGTGTGTGTGTGCATGTGTGTACGCGCGCGTGGGTTTGTGCGTGCGCGTTTGTGTGTGTGCGTGCGTGCTTGCGTGCGTGCATGCGTGCGGGTGGGGGTGGGGCATGCAGGTGGCTCGGAAGCTGCGGCAGGCAGGAGTGTCAGCGCTGGCATACAGTGCAAAGCTGGGCGTGGCTGACAGGGACGACCACCAGGACAGGTGGGGTGCCTGCACGGCGCGGCCGGGCTGTGATGTATGGCCTGAAGGGACAGAGCGGGCATGCGTGCGTGGGTGGCGATGGTGGGGATGTGGGCTGAGAGAAGGTGGCAAGGGGGTGGTTGATTGATTGGAAAGGATATTGGCCACAGTGAAAAAGGGGGGCCTGGGGGGAGTTGTCGTGATGTGTTACTTGATTGATTGGGCTTACTCGTTTTACCTCTGCTATTGTTAATCTGCACATGGCTGTGCATGTTTGTGCGGGGATGTGTGTGAGTGAGTGTCTGTGGTTTTGTTGGGGGGAGGGGGGGAGGGGTGGGTATGTGTGAGTGCATGTGTGTGTGTGAGTGTGGGGGGGTATGGGGGGGAGGGGAGGGGGTGTGACGGTGCACTATATCCCCTACCAGGTGGCGGAAGAAGGAGATTCAAGTTCTTGCAGCAACGGTACTCTTTTCTCTCCATCCTACACCATGCCCTTCTCTCCATCCTACACCATGCCCTTCTCTCCATCCTACACCATGCCCTTCTCTCCATCCTACACCATGCCCTTCTCTCCATCCTACACCATGCCCTTCTCTCTTCCCCCTTTACCTCCAATGTCGCTTTCCTCTGCCCCACCCTCCCACCTTCCCACACGCAACCCCCCCCCCCCCCCTCCCCCCTCCCCCCCCACCCTTTTTTTTATCGTTTCTTGTTCCAGTTACTGCTGCAATGTTGCTTGAATCTGCATGCAAGCGTCTTGATTTGTTTTAGTCGACATTCCATCTATGGCCCCACCAAGCCCCTTTCAATGCATTGTTGCATCAATCTGTTTCTCTCTGCTTCTTCTCGCCACCCTCTCTTCCTCTGCCCCAGCGTCCCCTCCCCTTCTCTTCCCCTCTCCCCACATCCCCCTCTTCCCCACTCCTTACGCCCCCCCCTTCCCCTCTCCCCCTGTCCCCTCTCCTACCACGGCCCCTGTACCCCTCTTCTCCTATCCCCACGTCCCCCTCTTCTCCTTTCCCCACGCCCCCCTCTTTCCTCTCCACCTATTCCCCGCTACCCCTCTCCCAACTTCCCCCTCTGCCCCTCTTACCCCTTCCCCCTCTTCTCCCGCCCCCCTGTCCCCGTCACCCCTGCACCCGTCGCCCCTCACCCCGTCGCGCATCAGAATGCCTTTGGAGCGGGCATCCACCAGGCCGATGGTCAGTGCAGTCACCAACCCTCGCTTCTACACCCGCCCTTCCCAACTCCCCCTCCACATTCCCTCCTCTGTTGGACAACTGCTCTCTAGCGTTCTGTGTGCCATGTGCCGTTGCACCGTTGTCACTGCCTTCCACGCGTTACCTTGGTGATGCTTGTCAAAGTCATTCTTCGACTCGTTCACTGCGCATATTACCGTCTGTGCATACCTTGTCCAAACATGAGCATTGACTCGGCTCGTTTCCGTTGGATGCGTCGACTCATTCAGAACACTTATTCTGTGGCGCTTTGTCCCCAACACTCCTCCTCTCCCCTCCTCCCCTCCCCTCCCCTCCCCTCCCCTCCCCTCCCCTCCCCTCCCCTCCTCTCCCCTCCCCTCCCCTCCCCTCCCCTCCCCTCCCCTCCCCTCCCCTCCCCTCCCCTCCCCTCCCCTCACCTCCCCTCCCCTCCCATTTCCTCCCATCCCCTCCCCTCCTCTCCCCTCCCCTCCCCTCCCCTCCCCTCTCCTCCCCTCCCCCTCCCCTCCCCTCCCCTCCCCTCCCCTCCCCTCTCCTCCCCTCCTGTCTCCTCCCCTCCCCTCCCCTCCCCTCCCCTCCCCTCCCCTCCCCTCCCCTCCCCTCCGCTCCCCTCCCCTCCCCTCCCCTCCCCTCCCCTCCCCTCCCCTCCCCTCCTCTCCCCTCCCCTCCCCTCCCCTCTGGTGCTCTCCCGTTCCCTGTTGTCCCCCTCCCATTTACGGAGCACAGTGCGGTATGTGATCCACTACAGCATGCCCAAGTCCATGGAGAGCCTCTACCAGGTCAGCGCCCCCTGCATGCGCATATCCATGCATCCATGCACCCAGTGCATCCGCTGCACATGCCATGCCACATGCCTGCCAGCACCACATGTTTTCTCCTTTATTTCACAGTCGCTCCCTCTCATCCCTGGGTCGACTTCACTTGTTTGTATCTCCCATTGCCGCCTCCCGTTCCTCCTCCACCCTCACACCCTCCTCCCTCCTCCCTCCTCCCTCCTCCCTCCTCCCTCCACCGTTCACCGTGTATCCACCAGGAGAGTGCGAGGGCGGGCAGGGACAAGCTGCCATGCCACTCCATCGTCTACTTCTCCCCGGCAGACCTCGGCTACATGGTGCGCTGCATGCTCTGCCACGCCACGCCATGCCATGTCATGCCACGCCACGCCATGCCATGTCATGCCACGCCACGCCACGCCACGCCATGCCATGTCATGCCACGCCACGCCATGCCATGCCATGCCATGTCATGCCACGCCATGCCATGCCATGCCATGCCACGCCATGCCATGTCATGCGACGCCATGCCATGCCATGCCATGCCACGCCATGCCATGTCATGCCACGCCATGCCATGTCATGCCACGCCATGCCATGCCATGCCATGCCACGCCATGCCATGTCATGCCACGCCATGCCATGTCACGCCACGCCATGCCATGCCACACCATGCCGTGCCATGTCATGCCATGTCGCGGCCCACCTGCTACTGCAGTGGCTATGCTTCTTCACCCACACCCCTCCCATGCCACTTGCGAGCCCCCTCTATCCAGCACCTGCTGCCTGCGGACTGCTACCATGCCATTGCGAGACTGTTACCACTCCATCTCTCTCTCTCTCTCCCTGTGCCCTTTCCTGCTCTCAGAAGCGTGCGTGTGGGCCGGGGAAGATACGAGAGTTCCACACCTGCAACCAAGTGGCCGCCTACTGCATGGTATGCTATGCTGCTGCATGGTATGCTATGCTGCTGCATGGTATGCTGCTGCATGGTATGCTATGCTGCTGCATGGTATGCTATGCTGCTGCATGGTATGCTATGCTGCTGCATGGTATGCTGCTGCATGGTATGCTATGCTGCTGCATGGTATGCTATGCTGCTGCATGGTATGCTGCTGCATGGTATGCTATGCTGCTGCATGGTATGCTATGCTGCTGCATGGTTGTTAGAATTAATACATTATAGCAATGCGAACACTTCTGACTGTACACCAAGAGTGGTGTACAGTTGGGTTGGTTCGGGCTCTAATTTTGGGTGTATTGCGGGTAGACACCCTAATTGGGGTGAACCCAAATATCCTAGCTTAGACTTGGCTCTAACCTTGTTGGCCAAATGGGCAACCAACTTTGGTTGGTTGGCCACCACCCCACTAGGGATGGTTGGATGGTCCTTCCTCCCACTAGCCTACTTGGTCTTGGTGTCTTATGTGCCAGGTTTGGTGTTCTTCTCCAATCTTCTCTCCCTTGTATAACCTTGTGCTCTCTTGAGCTAATTCCAAATCATTCTTCCTCAAGTTTCTACAACTCCTAGTTTCTTTCAATGGTATGCTATGCTGCTGCATGGTATGCTATGCTGCTGCATGGTATGCTATGCTGCTGCATGGTTTGCTGCTGCATGGTATGCTGCTACTGCATGGTGTGCTGCTGCATGGTGTGCTGCTGCATGGTGTGCTGCTGCATGGTGTGCTGCTGCATGGTATGCTGCTGCCTGATTCATGCACGGTGGTATGCTGATCGATGGGCATTACTATAGGATGGGTGCATCCATTTATACATGGTAGTGCTTGTAACCTCCCTCCACATCCTCTTCATTCCTTCTCATCCCGTCTTCTCTTTTTGCCTGCCCCTCTCGCACCTGCATCACAGACCCTTTAATCTCCTTCCCCTGCATCCGTCTGGCCCTGTCCAGGTCACCTGTCCCTGCAATCACATCTCTCATCCCCACTCTGCCATCTCTCCCTCTCTCCGCCCCCACTCCCCACCTTCCATCCCCCGTGCCTGCCCCTCCCCCCATGTGTGCATGGCATCAGAATCGCAGTGTGTGTCGGCACAAGCTGCTGCTGCGCCACTTTGACCTCGACAGCCCCGACGAGCAGCCCTGTGGAGGTACGTGCTGGGCTGGACTGGCTGGGTGCCACGCGGGCTGGCCTGCTGGGAAGTTGGCTGGGTTGGGGGGATTGGCTGGGTTGGGGGGACTGGCTGGGTTGGGGGGGATTGGCTGGGTTGGGTTGGGGGGATGGGCTGGGTTGGGGTTGGAGGACTGGCGGGGGTAACACATGTGTTGCTGGGCCACATGTATGAATTTCGGGTAGGTTTGCACGGCTGCTGCTGCTCTCTCGATGCGTTGCTTGCTTTTGCGCCTCATCAAACGAAGTATCCTCGTGCATTGTACTTCCATATTAAGTCCGGCACCTCTGACTCAAAATGCTGAATCCATTGCTGAACCCATGGTCGTATTCAGTGTTTTGAGACATCTCAAAACACTTCTTCAACCCATGGTCGTATTCAACTGTTCTTAGTAACACGTTCCACTCCATCCATACATGTGTTGCAACATCCCAACCCCATGGGATGGGTCATCCGCTGCAGGCTTTTGTGACAACTGCAGCAACTCCAGGGGCTTCGAAGAGAAGGACGTCACTCGTAAGCTCCCTCACTTGCACTCGTAGCTCCCCCTCTCCATTCTCGCACTCGCACACTACGGGTATTTTCTCTGCTTTTCGCTCCTCTCTCACTCGTAAGGGTGTTTTCTTTGCCTTTTGCTCTTCTCTCACCCGTGCCCCCTTAGCTCTCCCTCCTCGGGAAAAAAGGCTGAAAATGTTCCGTAATAATATGCTGTCCTGTTCCGTATTCCCTATCCCGACAATGAACTGTTCCATATTTCGACACTTTGGTGTTATTTATAGTGCAACTATGTAATCCGTGGTCCCACATTGGCGTGATCCGAAAGCAAACGATGTTTTGTTCCATTCCATGTTCTGATGATTGTGTCATACACATTGTGAATATTTGTTATCCCTGTTCCGAAACTTGTGTTCCATGTTCTTGCACTGTTATGTCACATGTCCCAGCAGTGTTGTGTTTCACTTTCCGGGAATGGTGTTTGAACCTGGATCTGCATCAGGAGCATTTGAGCATGTCGCTTGTTATCTCCTTCTCCCATGCCCTCCTGCTCATCTGCTGCCTCTGAAACTCCTCCCAACTCAATTCCGGTTTCATCTCAAGCGAAAAATCCCCCCCACACCAGTTCCCCACCACTCCCTTCCGCCCTCCAACCCATTGTTCCCGCGCCCTCTCTACCCCCTTCCTTCCCCTCCTTCCTTTCCCCCACCGCTCGTCCCCCTATCCCGCCATGCAGCGTACGCCATGCTGCTGGCGCGCATCCTGGCGGACTCGCCCACGTCCCTCACCGCCCCCCAGCTCGCCCACGAGTTATTCCGCTCCGGCGCTGCCTCCGGTGAGAGGGGGGGGCGGTGGTGGAGTGGATAACGTGGGAAGAAAGGAGGGGAGGGAGAGGAAGGAGGGGAGGGAGAGGGGTGTAAGAGGGGAGGAGGGTGGTGGAGAAGGTGGGAAGAAAGGAGGGGAGGGAGAGGGAGGGGGGGAGGGAGAGGGGTGTGAGAGGGGAGGGAGGCATTGTCACACTGGTCTACGTGCATCCAAAGTCTGTCTGTACTCAGTGGGTGGGACCGTTGCTGCCACCGTTCCCGAATCCTCCTGCCTTGCACTCTGTACACAGAGTATGCAAGTCTCGTATACACCCTCTAGTCCACAAGCATCCCTCTTCCGAGCTCGCCTCATACTCTGCCTGCCTGCCACCACACCACGCCCTTCATGCTCCCTTTGCTGCAAGTCGAGTTATCATGCCTACTCCCCTCTTCTTCGTTCTCTTGTGCCTTCTCTTCTCCCCTCTCAACCATCTCTTAAACATTCCTCACCGTAGAATCACCTTCCCCTTCAACTTCTCCCTTCCCTTCCCCACTCACGCACTCTCTCCCGGGCTGCATGTGTGGGGCAGAGGCGGCAGCACTGATGAGTCAAGCTCAAGCTCAAGCTCAAATGGCTGCACGGCCCCCAGGTCAAGACGCCGCAATGCCTGCTGCCACCGCCGCTGCTGCTATGCCTGCTGACTCCACCACTGCTGCTACGGTTACCACTGCTGCTGTGTCTACCCCTGGTGCTGCTGGTGCTGCGGTTACCAGTGGTGTTGCTGCTACGGCCGGTGTGGCAGACAGTAGTGCTGTGGGGGAAACCATCTCGCCTGACGCTGCTCTTGCAACCCCTCCATCCGCTGCAGCTGCTGCAGCTGCTGATTCCATCTCCCAAGCTTCCACTGCTTCCACCGCCCTCAGTGAAACAGCACAACCCCTCCCACACACCCCGCTCCCTGCTCCTGTCACTCTCTCATCTTCTCCCACTGCTGCCGCCCCTGCCACTCCAGCCGCCCCTGCCACTCCTACTCCTGCCACTCCTGCCACAGCCGCTGTTGCCCTCCAAGCACCCGCGCCCGCACCACCAGTGGCAGTGAGGCCTCTTTCCCGCGCGGTGGTGCAGCACCTCATTCTGCTGCTCGTGTGCCAGGGCTACATGGTACGTGCCTAACTATGTTGGCAGATACGCCTTGGGCAGGGTTGCGTACCACGTATATGCGCTTGCGTATATACGTGATACGCTAATACGCTCGTATTTCTTGGAAATACGCCCGGGCAGCCCACCGAAAAAAAAAATCGAAATTGAAAAATTTCGCGAATGTTTTGCGACTTCGCGATTTGTTACCGCAAAGTCGCACATCGCCCAACCCACTTCTGAAATTCAAATTTTGAGCTCCAAACCTCCCACCACCCCAACCACACACCACCCCACCAAACCTCTCATCTCCAACCATCCCTCTCAAATGTTGTTCAGCAACTCGTCTGCTCATATACTGAATGACGAGTTCCTTTCTGTCATTCAGTTTCCGTAGTCGTTTTCATTCCCGTAGCTCTCTTCTCCCGTTTTTCCTCATGGCGTCTAACTCCACCCCTCCTACTGCGACGAGCAATGTTGCCTCTGTTCACGCGTCCAATTGCGAAATCAATACGGAGGCTGTTGAGGCTGGCCTTTCGAACCCCATTTTGAAACATTTCGAATCCCTCGCGGCTACAACATGGACGAGGAGGAGGATGACCTGCTGGGGGCGGAAGGAGAGGATGCAGTTCTGGCGGATGAGTATGGGGCAGGGGTGGTGTTGGAAAAGCCCCGCAAGGAACTCGGCTGTGTGGAGGCTAGCTAGAGGGTGGGGTGGGGATGTATGGGGTGGGGAGAAGTAGCCCCAAAGATGTATCTCTGGATATTTATGAAATTAAATTATGACATGTGTGTTTGGGAAACATAACCCCCCCACCTTGAACAGGTTTTTTTTAGCCCTGCCCGGGAAAAAAGTTTTACCTGCCCGCCCAGCGTATTTTTACGTATCACGAGTACGCCACCCCTAGCGTACCGCGTATATACCCAGCGTATAATACGCTAGCGTATTATACGCGATACTCGTATCTGCCAACGTAGGTGCCTAATGCCAAGGTGACTTTTGAGTCAACTCAAAGGTCACCTCTGCTGCTCGTGTGCCAGGGCTACATGGTACGTGCCTAGTGCCAAGGTGACTTTTGAGTCGACTCAGAAGTCACCTCTGCTGCTCGTGTGCCAGGGCTACATGGTACGTGCCTAGTGCCAAGGTGACTTATGAGTCGACTCAAAAGTCATCTAGGGCTACATGGTACGTGCCTAGTGCCAAGGTGACTTATGAGTCGACTCAAAGGTCACTTCTGCTGCTCGTGTGCCAGGGCTACATGGTACGTGCCTAGTGCCAAGGTGACTTTTTAGTCGACTCAAAGGTCACCTCTGCTGCTCGTGTGCCAGGGCTACATGGTACGTGCCTAGTGCCGAGGTGACTTTTGAGTCGACTCAAAGGTCACCTCTGCTGCTCGTGTGCCAGGGCTACATGGTACGTGCCTAGTGCCAAGGTGACTTTTGAGTCGACTCAAAGGTCACCTCTGCTGCTCGTGTGCCAGGGCTACATGGTACGTGCCTAGTGCCAAGGTGACTTTTGAGTCGACTCAAAGGTCACCTCTACTGCTCGTGTGCCAGGGCTACATGGTACGTGCCTAGTGCCAAGGTGACTTTTTAGTTGACTCAAAGGTCACCTCTGCTGCTCGTGTGCCATGGCTACATGGTACGTGCCTAGTGCCAAGGTGACTTTTTAGTTGACTCAAAGGTCACCTCTGCTGCTCGTGTGCCAGGGCTACATGGTACGTGCCTAGTGCCGAGGTGACTTTTGAGTCGACTCAAAGGTCACCTCTGCTGCTCGTGTGCCAGGGCTACATGGTACGTGACTAGTGCCAAGGTGACTTTTGAGTCGACACAAAGGTCACCTCTACTGCTCGTGTGCCAGGGCTACATGGTACGTGCCTAGTGCCAAGGTGACGTTTTAGTTGACTCAAAGGTCACCTCTGCTGCTCGTGTGCCATGGCTACATGGTACGTGCCTGCCTAGTGCCAAGGTGACTTTTGAGTCGACTCAAAGGTCACCTCTGCTGCTCGTGTGCCAGGGCTACATGGTACGTGCCTAGTGCCAAGGTGACTTCTGAGTCGACTCAAAAGTCACCTCTGCTACTCGTGTGCCAGGGCTACATGGTACGTGCGTAGTGCCAAGGTGACTTTTGAGTCGACTCAAAGGTCACCTCTGCTGCTCGTGTGCCAGGGCTACATGGTACGTGCCTAGTGCCAAGGTGACTTTTGAGTCGACACAAAGGTCATTTCTACTGCTCGTGTGCCAGGGCTACATGGTACGTGCCTAGTGCCAAGGTGACTTTTTAGTTGACTCAAAGGTCACCTCTGCTGCTCGTGTGCCATGGCTACATGGTACGTGCCTGCCTAGTGCCGAGGTGACTTTTGAGTCGACTCAAAGGTCACCTCTGCTGCTCGTGTGCCAGGGCTACATGGTACGTGCCTAGTGCCAAGGTGACTTCTGAGTCGACTCAAAAGTCACCTCTGCTACTCGTGTGCCAGGGCTACATGGTACGTGCGTAGTGCCGAGGTGACTTTTGAGTCGACTCAAAGGTCACCTCTGCTGCTCGTGTGCCAGGGCTACATGGTACGTGCCTAGTGCCGAGGTGACTTTTGAGTCGACTCAAAGGTCACCTCTGCTGCTCGTGTGCCAGGGCTACATGGTACGTGCCTAGTGCCAAGGTGACTTTTTAGTCGACTCAAAGGTCACCTCTGCTGCTCGTGTGCCAGGGCTACATGGTACGTGCCTAGTGCCGAGGTGACTTTTGAGTCGACTCAAAGGTCACCTCTGCTGCTCGTGTGCCAGGGCTACATGGTACGTGCCTAGTGCCAAGGTGACTTCTGAGTCGACTCAAAAGTCACCTCTGCTGCTCGTGTGCCAGGGCTACATGGTACGTGCCTAGTGCCGAGGTGACTTTTAGTCGACTCAAAGGTCACCTCTGCTGCTCGTGTGCCAGGGCTACATGGTACGTGCCTAGTGCCAAGGTGACTTCTGAGTCGACTCAAAAGTCACCTCTGCTGCTCGTGTGCCAGGGCTACATGGTACGTGCCTAGTGCCAAGGTGACTTTTGAGTCGACTCAAAGGTCACCTCTGCTGCTCGTGTGCCAGGGCTACATGGTACGTGCGTAGTGCCGAGGTGACTTTTGAGTCGACTCAAAGGTCACCTCTGCTGCTCGTGTGCCAGGGCTACATGGTACGTGCCTAGTGCCGAGGTGACTTTTGAGTCGACTCAAAGGTCACCTCTGCTGCTCGTGTGCCAGGGCTACATGGTACGTGCCTAGTGCCAAGGTGACTTTTTAGTCGACTCAAAGGTCACCTCTGCTGCTCGTGTGCCAGGGCTACATGGTACGTGCCTAGTGCCGAGGTGACTTTTGAGTCGACTCAAAGGTCACCTCTGCTGCTCGTGTGCCAGGGCTACATGGTACGTGCCTAGTGCCAAGGTGACTTCTGAGTCGACTCAAAAGTCACCTCTGCTGCTCGTGTGCCAGGGCTACATGGTACGTGCCTAGTGCCAAGGTGACTTTTGAGTCGACTCAAAGGTCACCTCTGCTGCTCGTGTGCCAGGGCTACATGGTACGTGCCTTGTGCCGAGGTGACTTTTGAGTCGACTCAAAGGTCACCTCTGCTGCTCGTGTGCCAGGGCTACATGGTACATGCCTAGTGCCAAGGTGACTTCTGAGTCGACTCAAAAGTCACCTCTGCTGCTCGTGTGCCAGGGCTACATGGTACGTGCCTAGTGCCGAGGTGACTTTTGAGTCGACTCAAAGGTCACCTCTGCTGCTCGTGTGCCAGGGCTACATGGTACGTGCCTAGTGCCAAGGTGACTTTTTAGTCGACTCAAAGGTCACCTCTGCTGCTCGTGTGCCAGGGCTACATGTTACGTGCCTAGTGCCGAGGTGACTTTTGAGTCGACTCAAAGGTCACCTCTGCTGCTCGTGTGCCAGGGCTACATGGTACGTGCCTAGTGCCAAGGTGACTTTTTAGTCGACTCAAAGGTCACCTCTGCTGCTCGTGTGCCAGGGCTACATGGTACGTGCCTAGTGCCAAGGTGACTTTTGAGTCGACACAAAGGTCACCTCTACTGCTCGTGTGCCAGGGCTACATGGTACGTGCCTAGTGCCGAGGTGACTTTTTAGTTGACTCAAAGGTCACCTCTGCTGCTCGTGTGCCATGGCTACATGGTACGTGCCTGCCTAGTGCCAAGGTGACTTTTGAGTCGACTCAAAGGTCACCTCTGCTGCTCGTGTGCCAGGGCTACATGGTACGTGCCTAGTGCCAAGGTGACTTCTGAGTCGACTCAAAAGTCACCTCTGCTACTCGTGTGCCAGGGCTACATGGTACGTGCGTAGTGCCGAGGTGACTTTTGAGTCGACTCAAAGGTCACCTCTGCTGCTCGTGTGCCAGGGCTACATGGTACGTGCCTAGTGCCAAGGTGACTTTTGAGTCGACACAAAGGTCACCTCTACTGCTCGTGTGCCAGGGCTACATGGTACGTGCCTAGTGCCAAGGTGACTTTTTAGTTGACTCAAAGGTCACCTCTGCTGCTCGTGTGCCATGGCTACATGGTACGTGCCTGCCTAGTGCCAAGGTGACTTTTGAGTCGACACAAAGGTCACCTCTACTGCTCGTGTGCCAGGGCTACATGGTACGTGCCTAGTGTCGAGGTGACGTTTGAGTCGACTCAAAGGTCACCTCTGCTGCTCGTGTGCCAGGGCTACATGGTACGTGCCTAGTGCCGAGGTGACTTTTGAGTCGACTCAAAGGTCACCTCTGCTGCTCGTGTGCCAGGGCTACATGGTACGTGCCTAGTGCCGAGGTGACTTTTGAGTCGACTCAAAGGTCACCTCTGCTGCTCGTGTGCCAGGGCTACATGGTACGTGCCTAGTGTCGAGGTGACGTTTGAGTCGACTCAAAGGTCACCTCTGCTGCTCGTGTGCCAGGGCTACATGGTACGTGCCTAGTGTCGAGGTGACGTTTGAGTCGACTCAAAGGTCACCTCTGCTGCTCGTGTGCCAGGGCTACATGGTACGTGCCTAGTGTCGAGGTGACGTTTGAGTCGA